TGGGAGAAGGGGCCAATACTTATCCTTTGGTGTGAGTTTTGTATCTGAAATTTGCTTTGTTGGAGTCAAAGTTTGCCTTAGCAGAGGTGATGTGTAGTTCTCTCTCTTCTCTCTCAGCTCAGCTCCCCGTTTTTAGCATTTGTGAGTACTTTCTGGTCATAATTCTTCCCTCTGGAGAGGAGCTTTTGTTGAATGCTGGCTCCAGTTGGCCATCTTGCCCCTCATCCCCCAAGTCCAAAATTTCTTTCATTAGTTTCTTACTGGAGGATCTATCCAATACTGCCAAAGGGGTGTTAAAATCTCCCACTTGTATTGTGCTGGTGGAAATCATGTTGCTCATGTCAGAGTGTCTCTTATCAATTGAGCAGAATTCTGGTTGGGTACATAAATATTGATAATTGAAATCCCATCATGTTGACTGTTGCCCTTGACAAATATGAGGTGACCATCCTTATCTTTCTATACTTTTGTTGGTTTAAAGCCTACTGCATCTTTGAATAAAATTACAATACCTACTTTTTTCTGTTTTCCATTTGCCTGAACTATAGATGACCGTCCCTTTACCCTGAGTCTATATTTATCTTTTAAAGTAAGATGAGATTATTCTATGCAGCAGATATCTGGCCTGAATTTTTGTATCCCATCAGCCAACATGTGCCTCTTTAGAGAGGGCAATTTAAGCCATTCACATTAATTGAGAGTAGTGATAAGCCTGGTCTTATTTTGGATGTTAAATTTATCGAAAGTCCAGTGGACACTTTTAATCCTTTTCCCACTGCGGTAGTTGGAATTTGATCAAAAATTTCTACGTTAATTTACTTTGGTGGTAAAGCATTACAGTCATTGTAGAGGACAGGTCTGAGAATATCCTGAAGAGCTGGTTTAGTTATGACAAACTTATTCAGCATGTGAATATCATTAAAGTATTTAATTTCTCCATCATAAATGAAACTCAGTTAAGCTGGATACAGGATACTGGGTTGAAAATTGTTCTGTTTTAAGAGGTTGAAGGTAGATGACCATCCTCTTCTAGCTTGAAAAGTTTCAGCAGAAAGATCTGTAGTCATTCTAATATTTTTCCTTTTGTAGGTTATAGTATTCTTACATCTGGCTGCTTGCAGTATTTTCTCCTTCATTTTAACTTTGGTGAAATTAATTATAGCTATCTGGATTTCAGCATTTCTTGCTATGTTTGGGAATTTGTCCTCAATTATCTCTTGAAGAAGAGCATCTGAACCTTTTGAAGCAACTTTGTTGCCTTCAGGGATTCCTATAAGGCAAATATTAGTTTTCTTGGAATTATCCCAGAGCTCTCTGAGAGAATGATCCAGTTTTGCTCCCCACTTCTCTTCTTCTTTGTGCATTTAAGAGCATTCAAAGGCTTTGTCTTCAGTGTCCGAAATCCTTTCTTCTGCCTGTTGCATTCTGTCAATAAAGGATTATACTATATTTTTCAGATCTTTGAGGGCTGTAAGTTCTTACCTCAATGTGTCAAAATCTTTGGTGATTTTTTTTCTTTGAGTAAATTGAATTCTTGAGACAACTTTTGAACTGTTCCTTGAATTTCTAATTCGATCTTTACTTCCATTCTGTTAATCTTATTTGCAACCCAAATTCTAAATTCGATTTCTGACATCATAGCTATCTGTTTATGAATGGGATTCCCTGGTGTGGTTGGTTTTTCATTCTTGGGGGAGTTGATCTGTTCTGATTTTTCATATTGCCAGAGTTTTCCTGCTATTTTGCCCCATGATTGTTTTTCATCATTTGGCTAAATGAGCAAGTAGGGCGAAATTGGATTGGGGGCTTCTGGGGTTGTGATTGACCAGCCCTTTGCCAAAGAGGTGGGGCTGGTGACTGCAAATTTTTCTCTACAGCTTTGCAAAGGACCCATACAGTTCTACAGCCTGAGACTCTGGAAACCTGCTTGGTGTGGTGGGGTATATGGCTCTGTCTTTTATTCAGCTGATCTCTGTCTATTCCTAGTGAATCAGTGACTCAGGGTTGAAGTCTCAGCTGTGGTGAAATATAAGCATCTAAGACATAACGACCCCCACATGTAACAACTGGAAGAGGAAAATCAAACCTTTCCATTACAACAGAACCAGGGTACTACCTTGGAGTATCCTCGGTTGATTTGTCCAGTTCAAGAGTTCCCAACCAATTGTCCCAATCAGCACCCACTCTCTAGCAGGAGAGTTCAAATCATCTCTAGCAACTAGATAGCAGGAGTCTACTTGTAGCTCAAGTGTGGCTTGCTCTGGTGCTCCGAGGAGTCACAAAGTACCATCCAATAGAAGGTTTGTACCAAGAGGCTGATGCCTCTTTCCTCACCTTGTTTCCTCTTCACCACTGGACTCTGGTAACCCCAGTCTCTGGTAACCCCACCACCAGTCTCTGTTAACCTAGTGTCTGTGGCCCAGTTCTGTCCGTTAAGCACATTTGGCAGGGGCTTGTGCCTTCCAGAGTCAAAGTAAAGTCAATGCCTCCTCTTCTTGGCTACCACCCTCTGCCACCAACCAGCCAGGGCAGCTGAAGCCTGCCTGCCTCAGGTACTTGATAGCAACTGAAGAGTGTTCCATCAGAGCACAATCTAAACCTAAGGATATCCAGACAGCAAATGTATTTCTCCCTCAACCACTGCACCTTTGCCCCTGCTGTTCTGCTGTTCTGGTATCCCTATGGGGTGAGGTCTGGTTCCCTCTGGCAGATCATAGAGTTGAGAAGGTCACTCTCCAAAATTCAACCTCAGCCCTATTCATAGGATTGCTCTATACATGCTGATGTTGGGTGGGAGGCGTGTTCACTTGGGTTCACACACCTCAGCAGTTCCTAAGTCTCTACCCATGGCATGGAGACCCAATCCTCTGCCCAGTGCTGAGATACTCTTTCTCAAACACAGACCAGACACCTTTCCCTCTGTGTCTTTCTGCACTATTACCGGATTCACAGATATAGCAAAGCTGCACTGCCACTGTCTATGCAATGCCCATACCTAGCCAAGGAGTGCGGACATTCTGGTCTCTGGAGGGCTTGGACTTCTATAGCACCAAGCAAGAGGGGAAGAGTAGATTGGAAGTTCAAGGTGGCAGGGAAAATATGCTGGAGTCTTGTTTTGTTGTAGGAGATTAGATGTGTGTTTTCTGAAGACATCATTTATTTGGTTTGTGCCTTTTTATACACTTGGCCTGCTTGTGCCTCTTCAGTAATGAATTCAAGTCATTCACATTTGTTGAGAGAATTGATAAAGATGGTGGAGTTCTGTTCATTCTGTTCATCTTGTTCTGTGGAGGTCTGTGGCCTCGTTTTATCACTTGGGTCATTGTGGAAGCTAGGCTTTGTCGTTTATATCTTTTACATTTACCTGAATGGAGTTGAAGAACATCCTTTTTAGTAAAGTATTTCAAGAAAGAAAAAATAACCATCCCATGTACTGTATACTAATCTGAAACTAGTCAATGAACAACTACAGGTACACTCAAGAGGGGTAGTATGAAATATCAACTAGATGTTGTGGCATTGCTTACCAAAGCATCTTATGAATTTTTGTTACACTAGAAGTATAGGGCCCATTCCACTTCTCTATGTTTTTACTCATACTCAGTGTTGCTAGAATTTCTTTCTTTCTTGCTTTTTTTTTTATTCTTTCTTTCTTTCTTGGTAAACTTGATAAGTGATGAATAGTATCTCTTATTGTTTTAATTTGAAAATTTCTCATGTGCTTTTTAAAATAAGCATCATCTCATATGTTTTTAGGCATTTCAGGGTTCTCTTTTTGTGGTGTTTTAAATTTTTTATTTTTATTATTAAATTGTAGCTGTGTACATTAATATAGTCATGGGGTACAGTGTGCTGTTTTTATATACAATTTGAAATATTTTCATCAAACTGGTTAACATAACCTTCATGTCATTTTCTTAGTTATTATGTTGAGACATAATAACTACTGAAGAGGCACAAGCAGGCCGAGTGGATATTTATATTCTACATTAAGAAAGATTCATATTCTATATAAAATTTTTAATTTTTTCCCATTTTACATTTGGACATTCGTCTTTTTATTATTGATCAATATGAGATCTTTATGTATTTTGAATACCAATAATTTAATACTTATGGCTCAAATAACTTATTTTAATTTGTTTCTTATCTTTTATCTTTATGAGTACTTTTGTTGAACAAAATTTTACAGTACGTTTAAATGAATGAATCTTGTGTTCATAATTTTTGTTTTCATGTCCTATTTGCAAAATATTGACCAACTTTGTAGTTATGAAAATATTTGCATGTATTTATTATAATATTTTCTAGCTTTATTTTCCGCATTGAATTGTTTAGTCTATCCATATTTTATGATATGATGTAGAGATATATATACATTTTCATATTGAAAGGTAATTTTCTTAGTATCATTTTTGTCTTTCTGATATTTTTCTTCTCTTTTCCTTGTATTTATATTTCTTCTCTTTCTGATTCTTTTTTTTTTTTCTAATTCTTTTCTTAAGTATCTAAATGTCACTTTTGTTCTATACTAAGTTTCATATATATCTGTATTCTTTCATGGCCTCTCTCTTGTGTTTCTGTATGAACCATGGTTCATTACTTTACTTCTCTAAACCTATCCATCACTAAGATGAATTAATAAAAATAGCAATTGAGATTATAGGATAATGAATTTTTAAACAGTAACTGACATTTATCATGTTTGTTTGGACACTTTACATTTATTCCCTCATTTAATCCTTATAAAAAACTGAATTCAGCAAAGTTAAGTGATTTTTCTCAAAGTGTGAATAGTTGCTTAGGTATAGGTTGGCATTTGAATTCATGTCTGACTCCAAAGCTTGCACAATTTTCAATAACTCAATTTTCAATGTCTTAGTTGTAAGCAAACCACCTAGAATAATAGCTGTGCTGATTCATTGTAGGTACTCAATAAGTAGTTCCAATCTTTATATTTATTTAAGACTATTCTCACTTCCTTTTCTGTGACCCTTAAAGGAATGCCCAATTCTTCTGGCCTCATGGACCGTCGTGATACCATTTCCAAGACAGATGCCACTGTGGTGGCATTATTAAAGGAAGCTGGTGCTATTCCCCTTGGCATAACCAACTGTAGTGAATTGTGCATGTGGTATGAATCCAGTAACAAGATCTATGGAAGATCCAACAACCCATATGATTTACAGCGTATTGTAGGTGGAAGTTCTGGTGAGTTGAACATTTTGTCAAAATCCCTATTAAGAGAGAGGTGGAGATATTGTTGCAAAAACCTCCGAGAAAGCAATAATCAGCAGTTTATGGTAAAGTAATTTGAAAACTGAATCATAGTTTGTTGTAGATCATTGTGGACAATGAAAATTAATATTTTGGTTTTCTTATCATATGTGTGTGGGTGGGAATCAGGGAGAGAGACAGAAAACAAGAAAATGTGAACTACTACACCTGGTTTAGCTTAAGACCTATTTATTCTGGACATAAGATGACAAAATAACATAAGAAAACCCTTTCTGAGAAGGTAATATTTGAAATGAAACCCCAAGTGTCAATAATAATTTTGGAGTTGTTATAATAAATACAGCACAGTGTCTAACCTATACCTATAAGAATGATTGCAAAAACCTAGGATATATATGTGGATAAAAAAAAAAAATGGGGCCTATGACAGATTTGGTCAACTCTGACGTGTTGAAGGTGAACAGAGGAGAAATACCTAGCAAAGAAAATGGAGAATGAACTATAAGTGATGTAGAAGGGAAATATAAGAAAGTGTATTGTAGACTAGAATTTATAAGGCTTTTATCAAACCTAAAAGGATGTGTTTATGAGTTATTAAAATATGATGTTTAAGTTGTAGATGCTATAGTGACGTTGATTCTTGACATTTCTTTTACTATGTTACCTTGGTCACACAAAGTAGATGCTCAGTTTGCTCAGCTACAAAATTGCTATAATAAAGAAACCTGCTTTGTAAAGTTATTGTGATGATTAAAACTGTTAACTGTGACTTCACGTTTCTGATATGGCAATGTAAGGAGTTTGGAAGTTACCACTGTCATTCACACAATAAGAAAAAACATATGGGCTCGGCGCCTATAGCTCAACCGGCTAAGGCGCCAGCCACGTACACCCAAGGTGGCGGGTTCGAATCCCCAGCCCACCCGCCAAACAACAATGACGGCTGCAACCAAAAAATAGCCGGGCGTTGTGGCGGGCGCCTGTGGTCCCAGCTATTTGGGAGGCGGAGGCAGGAGACTCGCTTGAGCCCAGGAGTTGGAGGTTGCTGTGAGCTGTAATGCCACGGCACTCTACCCAGGGGGACAGCTTGAGGCTCTGTCTCAAAAAAAAAAAAAAAAGAAAGAAAAAACATATGAACAAACTGAAAATTAACAACCTTTGATTTATCAGAACACTGAGGTCATATGGCAATCCACTCCCCTCCAAACTGAAGAGAAAGACATACATATACATAGAATCCAAACTATATAAGAAAAGCCTAGGAAAATAAAACTCTGTAGAAAACAGTACAGAGGTAGGAAAACCTAAATTGTAATTGATGAATTGTTGGAGATTCAGTATTAAAATGTCTCAGAGTTAAAATTTTAGAAGTTGTCCCAATCACAAGGGACATCCACACTTTCATGAGTTTTACCTTCAGTGGTCCTACCAGGTTCTCATAATAAAGATCGGAGAAACTCTCCCACCACCATGGTTTTGTAACGGTGATGGGAAAAGTAGCTATCTTGAAATACTACTTCCAAAGCATTCTGTTCTAACAAAGAATTCTTCAGAGAAACTAGAACTTAATAGATTAGTGTTTTATCAGAGACTAACGGACCTCACTTGAGAGAAAGAAAATACCCACCTCCACCCCCACCCCCGGGCTTCCTTTCCATCCTAAGAAAATCAGAGAAGAAAAAAATCTTAAAATAAGTAAGAGAGAAAAGTAAATGAATTATTTAGGAGCAAGGGAAGAATTAGAATAAAATAAAACTGACAAGAACCTATTAGGGTCATAGGGTAGGCACAGCCTAACTAAATAATTAACACTCAATCATATGACTATGAAATGCTTTCTCCTCTTGCTCACACTTACTTTGCCACTTCATTAATAAAGATTATCTGTAACAGGAGAATAAACTGGAATAACTATGCAACATAGGTGTTATTTAAGAAATTGCTAGGGAAATCCAAAGAAAACATGAGGGATGAAAACAAGAATACCAGATGAAAATTTAACATCTGATGTCTGCAGATACAACAAACAGAAAACATAGACTAACCCCTAGCCATGACAGGCTAATTTTCCTCCGTTCTTTCCATCCAGTACATCGTGTCTGACTTGCAACAAAAAATTGCAAGCCATACTAAGAGGCAAAATTTATAGTTTTAAAAGACATCAAGCATGAAAACAAGACTCAGATATGGCAAAGATGTTGTAATTATCAGACCAAGAATTTAAAACAGCTATGTTTAATATGCTTAGGGTGTAATGGAATAAGTGAACAGGCAACATGAAGACATATATTGATAATGTAAGCAGAGAAATGAATACTCAACAAATCAGAAGAAAATGCTAAAACTTAAATGCAGCATAAAGGAAATAAAGAATATCTTTCATGAGCTCATAGATACATTGGATGCAGCCATTGAAAGAATTAGTGATAAGGAAGAAATGTCAGTAGAAACTTCTAAAACTGAAATTCAGAGAGAAAATCGGAATGAAAAAAATGGGACAGAATATCTAAGAATTCTGGGATTACATAAGGCATAGAATACACATAATAGGGACACTAAGAAGAGAACAAAAACAACAGAAGAAATGTATGAAACAATAAATTTGCATACATTAATGATAGACAACAAAATACAGTTCTAGAAAGTTCAGAGACCACCAAGTAAAGTTAAAACCAAAAAGCTATGCTTAGGCATATTCTACATCATATAGAAGATCAAACAGGAAGAAAAAAAATCTTAAAAGAAGTAAGAAGGAAAAATAAGTTAATTTTTAAAGGCAAGAAAAGAATTATAATAGATGTTCTTTTCTTTAAAATCTGTCCAAGCAAGAAGAGATTGGAGTGAAATATTTAAATTTTTAAGAGAACTGTCAATATAGAATTGCTTATCTAGCATACTTATCCTTTAAAAGTGGAGGAGAAATAAAGACTCACACAAATATTTTGGGAGTTTTTTGCCATTAGACCTATATCACAAGAGATGTTATAAGAAGTTATTTATAGAAAGAAAATAATAAGCATCAGAAACTAGATCTGTATAAAGAAAATAAAAAGCATTAGAGAAAGAATAGATGAATGTAAAATAAAGAAGTTTCAGGGGAAGATGGCTGACTGGACCTAGCTTTCAACAGAAGCTCCTGTCCAGGGGGAGAGATAATGGCCAGAAAGAACCCAATAAAGCTGAAAGTCAGGAGCTGAGCTGAGAGAGAAGATTGATAACTGCACGTCATCCTTGCTGAGGCAAGCTGCAACTCCAAGGAAGCAAATTTCAGGTACAAAACCCATCCCAAAGAGGATGAGAGTCCATCCCTCCCCCAAGAGAGTGGCTTGCTGTGTGATCTCTACAAATGAGCAGAGAACCAAAGACTTCTTCTCTCACCCCACGGGAGAGAGTCGCTGAAGACTGGGACTCTTTCTCCAGAGAGATCATGCTGTGAGCTTGGGGATTCTTTTGGCTGGCATAAAAGTTGAACAAATATTTTCACTGCCATTCTGAACACCCAGTCCACTGTTCCACCCTCACCTGGTGGTCTGAAAGCCCATGCCCTTCAGAGAACAGAGTGTCCATGGTTTCCTGCTAGGGCTGGGCATTGCATGGGCTGTAGCAGCACAGCTGCACTGAAACTGTGACTTGAGTAGAAGTGGAGAGATGTGCAGGTGGGAAGGTGACTGGCCCAACAATGTGAAAGTGTGCAGTGATGGGTAGAGGTGCAGGAAGCCGTGGGGCAGGTGGAGGCTCTGGAACCTGCAAAGAAGCACAGGAAGACCACGGAAGCACCTGCATTGAAGCAGCATTGATAGTAGAGCAATCCTGCCAGGGTTAAATTCTGGAGAGACATTGTCCCAATTCTGTGCACTGCCAGAGGGAGCCAGACATCAACCTGCAGGAATATGAGAGGAGTAGTGCATCTGGGGAAGATGTGCAGTCTCTGAGGAAGAAAAACATTCACTGCATTGTTAACCCATGGCTTGGAACCAACTCAGATGGAACAATCTCCAGTTTCCATTGAGCACTGGAGGGAATCAGGCTTCAGCTCCACCTGCTAGCTAATGGCAGACTGTGGCAGTCTGGCTGAAGAGGCAGTGACAACTCTGACTCTGGCAGGAGCAAATCCCTGGTACATTTCCTCACTGGAGGGAACTGGGCCACAACCCTACAGGGTTATAGTGATTGGGAGTGGCAGAGGTGCAAGGTGGGGAAGGAGGTACCCGAACCCCTGGACTAACTGATTTTCTGGGTGGCCCTTTCAGACTCCATGGAGCCCTGGAGTGAGTCACACTTGATCTGCCACTGGACCCCTGTTGTCTAGTTGCTGGAGACCTTCTGAGCTCTCCCGCTTGATCAGCATTTGTGCTGACTGGGAAAGTTGTTTGAAACTCTTGACCTGGGCTGGCTGCCTGCGTACCCTACAAGATTGAGCTGTGGTTGTGTTGTAGTAAGAGAGTGTTAGTCTCCTCTTCCAGTTGTTGCCCATATGAGGGAGAAGGCAGCCTTAGTTGCTTGTATTTCTTCCTAGCCAACTTTTCAGCCAAAGCCAGTGATTCATTAGGATTGGATAGATGCTAGCTGAATACAATACAGATTCACCTAACCCCATCACACCAAGCAGGTCTCCAGAGTCTCAGGCTACAGTACTGAACAGGATATTTGTAAAGCTATAAGGGAAAAGCCTCATTCACCAGTCCCAGTTCTTTGGTAAAGGTCTGGTTACTTTAAGATGACCAGACGTCCCACTTTTGGCAGGACAGTCCCAATTTTTAACAATTTGTCCCATGTCCCGTGGGGTTTTAAAAAAGTCTCGATTTTTGGAAAGAATGCATGACAAGCTAGGGAACAGTGGGAGAATGGGAAGGGAATATATGGTTTTCGACTGCTGAAGAGGTTAATGTAAATCCATTTGGGAATGAAGAGGTTAATGTAACTCCATTTGGGATTGAAGAGGTTAATATAACTTCATTTGGAAATGAAAAGGC